TAAAGTTAGAGAAGGGCTTTCAAAGGGCATTTCAGGCCAATAACAGTACCATATGGGACAACTAGTGTTAATATTTGTAGGGAAAAATTTATGTTGAGGCCAAAGGTATAGAAAATTCTATGAGAATTTTAGAAAATTCTCATAGAAAATTCTATGAGAAGTTTAGAGACCACAGTAATGTCCATTTTGCTATTTCTGGAACTATAACCTTGAGCTAACAATTGGCTTACAAGGGCTGGGTCTGATGCCCTGAGGTGTGAGGTGGGGCTAGGAGCAGGACTTATGCAAGGTGCCACTCCCTCCACACACACCTGGGACAAATGACCCTGGCTGCCTAGGCCTGATCCTGCAGCCTGTCACCCTTCCTCCCTTTCTGTGTACTCTGTGTGCATTTATTGTAGGGGAAGTGGTGGTGGGCTACAGCCATCACCATGTGTGGCTGGCGACCCAGGATGTACTGGGTCCTCTCTATGGATTTTCTTAGCTATGGCAGGCGTTTTTGCTGCGTCCAGAAGCCAGCATCCTGTGCACAGGTGTGCCTGTTTGCTTTTCCTCCTCCCCTTGTGGGGGCAGAGTTACAGCGTGAGCATAGCAGCTGCAGTTTTTTGTAAGCGCTTTTGTAAGGTAGCTGACTTTAAGTTACTTTAGACTGAGAGGCCTGGCAAACTAGTTGGAATAACTTACGTCATAAGGTACCATGTTAGAAGTTTTTCATGGGAGGCAGAGTCCTAGTAAGCCCAGGGAGGGGAAGGCAGACAGAGACAAAGGACACGTGGTGAGACCATGGAGGAGGCAGAAAAAGTGTGTTGACATCTTAGGTAAGGGAGGGGAAGGCAGAGCCTGGAGGCATCACACATGCTTAAGGGATTAGCCATCACTTGTGTCTCTAGGTTGCTCTCATTGATTGGTATTGGCACACTTTCAGCAAAATGAAACCTCCACTCTCTGGTCACTGAATAAATCTGGGGCTTGATCTCAGTCCACAGGAAGGGAGCATAAGCTCTCCCAGAGCTGGAACTGCCTTGATGCCAGAGTTGGCAAGGAGTGGCTTGCTTAACTCCATGACAGGGAAAGTTTTTCAGGAAGATAGGAGGAGATAGGTAGAAACTGGTTTGCAGGTTAATAGAATCTGTGCAGGGGAACAGAAAGTATGGAGGGAGGGTTTGAAGTACATGTTTTGGCTTGCAAGTGGTGCAGAGAACTGGATTTAGACGGAGGTATGAAAAGGCTTGGACATAATGGAATCTCTCCCCATTGTCCCGATTGCTCACAGTAGTTATATGTCCCATAAAAGATTGGGATCTAAAGACCGAAAAGGGGCCAGTGACTTTGGTTGTCTAAAGGGTAAGTGAGCCAGATTTGAGTGCAACAGCAGATTAAATTTTTGGTTTTATATCTGGGGTCAACCCAAGTTGTCTAAATTATTGAGGCGGCATCTCAGTGGGTGTCAGACGGCAAAGAGGAGGAGGCCCCCATGTTGGGACCTGGTCCTGAAAAGGGGTTGGGAGGATATTATGAATCACAGGGCGTCCCCATGCAGCTCACATATCCAAGAATGGTACAAGATGCAAGAGAAGCAGTCATCACTGCATTCTAGTGGCTTGTAGGGCCAAAAGGACGAGGGGGCTGTAGGTCACCCGGAGCCGAGATTTTCGGAGGGCAGTCTCTGAGACCAAAATGACAGAAATAGACCCAAGATGAGGCTGATTGAGAAAGAGGTCTTTCCTCTACCATCTGAGCCCCAGAGATGATCAGAAAGGGGGAATGCTGAAACCCCAGAGACACCGAAGGGAGAGACCACAAAGGGAGCCCAATAAGGGACTCACCAAAATGATGTCCACTGTTGAATGAGAGCGAAGGTGATTGAGAGGATGAGTCCTGGCCAGTCACGTCCTCAGGGTGGTTGTGGGGTGAGTCGGAATTGGGGTCCCACCAGGATTAGTGGGGAGACCCGATCCGAGTCATGGCACCAAATGTAGGCCCCAAAGTGACCACCTGGAGAGGAGGGATCTGGCCAAGAGATTCTTTATTGCCGGGTGGGAGAGGGAGTGAGCCAAGAGAGAGAGAGAGAGAGAGAGAGAGAGAGGGAGAGAGAGAGAGAGAGGCAGGGGCTTAACTACTCCTCAGTGAGACTCAGCATGATCTGATTGGTTAGGATCTTATGGTTCATGCTGTTTGGAGGTTGAGGCAGAAGGAGAAGTCAAGCTAGACTTGAGGCAGGACCAAGACCCTGGGAAACAGAAGCTTAAGGGTGCAGTAAGAACAGAAACCTATCAGCGCCATTATTGCCAACAATGTCTGTTTTATTTCACAGTATATAATCTGCCTTTTGTATATAATCAGACCTTGTTACATACTAGCATTTCAGTAATAGCTACTTATTAAAAGAACATATGAACAAACAGCATTAACAGCCACTTATATCAACTATCAACTTACTCCATGATTTGTAAATTGATGAAATTTATGGTTTCTTTTCTAAACTATAACCATTTTGATTGAAGCCTTTTACATATATATATGTATATGTCTCCTGAATACACTTCCCTGTACACCTTGCCCATGTTTGTCCTCATAAATTTCTTTATACCATTATGGCATATACATGTATCTATTAGAGAAGTCGTTTGGATACATACCAGTACTGTTCCCTTAACATTTTGAAGGCAAAGGATGACAGCATGGGAAGCTACACAGAAAGCAGCAGCTGAAACCTGAGACACTGCATAGACTAATTGAAAAGCAATGCAGGGGGACCTGATAAACACCCCAGACAGACAATTGAGTTGTAAAGATCCTAAGGGAAGTGTGAATAAAATATTGACTTGCTTTGAGGTCATCCCTCCAACCCCAAAACACTGCTACCAGAAGAAAAGCAAATCTTTCCTAGAGGAACACACACTAACACCATCCAGAGACTCAGATTTTATATATCCATTTTCATATGCAGAACTCTTTCATTCTATCAAAATAGTGAGGCATTATGCAATATAAAGGGATGCAGAGATTCAATGTTATAATGATTTATGAATTTAAGAAATTAAGTAACAAAATGAAGAAATTCAGTAGTGGACTGAAAATTACAAAAAGGATCAAATGGAGATTCTGAACTGAAAACTACAACTAACTAAATAAATAACCCAGCCTATGAATTTATCAGTAAGTTAGATATGACTGAAAAGAGAAAGAGTAAACCTAAAGATAGTCCAGGAGAGAATATTCAGAAGGAGCCTCAGGGAAGCAAGAAGTGAAAAGCAAAGGGTCGGTTTGTGTGGGTTCTCTTTATAAAATGAAGTTAGCTTTAATTCTTAGTTTTTTAAGGTTTTTAAAAAACATATGTTATGAATAGAGGTTGAAGTTTGCCAAATATCTTTTCCTTGTAAATTGAGATGATCCTGACTTTTTTTTCTCTTTAGTCTACTGATAAAGTAAATTTCATTGCTTCATTTTGAATGGTGAATAACTTCATTTTAAGGATGAACACCTTTTGGTAACGATGTATTATCCTTTTTATATATTGTAAGATTGATTACTTTTAGAGGTAGTAGAGTTTGAACTCAGGACCTCATGTTTCTTAGACAGGCACTCTACCACTTGAACCATGCCTCCAATCCTTGATTTGCTTAGTTACTTTTTAAATAAGGTCTCTCTTTTTCTGTCTGGGGCCAGCCTGCAATTCTCCTATCTATGCCTCTCGCATCACTGGGATCAGAGGTGTGTACAATCATGCCCTGTTTGCTGAGGTGGAGTCTCACTAACTTTTGCCAGTGCTGGACATGAATTGCAATTCTCCTAATCTTTGCCTCTTGAGTAGGTGGTGTCACAGGCATGTGCCACCACACCTGGCCACTCTCACTTTATTTTTGATTCACAGAAATTAAAATGATTAATCTATTTTTCTCCTTTATGTGTTCAAAGAACTCTCATTATATCTTACAATTCTACCACTGCATGTATAGCATAAAAAATAATATATTGCAAATTGTGCAATATTAGTGTCTATGCATGAATGAAACCTTTAGAAATAAATTATTTGCTTAAATTATTTTATAGCAATAGAATAAAATTTAATACTGGAAAAACTCATTTGTATATTTAGACTTTTCGTGTTTGGTCATAAGAAAGAGTTCGAAGTTTAAATTATTGATAAATGTAAAACTTAACCATTTAAGTTTTAGAGGATCAATTGAAATTGCTGCACACATTGGTAGATGACAATCAGTAAGGGAACTGATGAAACACACTCTTCTTTAGTGGAAAGTTGAACTAGAATAGTGATACTCATATCATTGTCTTTCTTGCTTACATGATACTGAGACCATATTTACTTAGGCAGTACTTTCTATCCCATATGCAATTATATTACTCTTTCTGGATTTGGGCTCAGAAACAGATACATATGTCTTTTTAAATTTGTGCATGTATACACACACATGAACATGGATACATGGATACATGCACACATGCACACACACATGCATGCAGTGGATTTTATTGGTGTTATGTGGTATGTACTATTTGGGTTCATCTGACCTATCCTCAAAATTGAGATATAGAGAGATGGAGAATGACAAAACTGAAGAAGCTCCCCAGACATAGCCACAGGGAGCCCAGGGCACCGTTACTTTGGCACTGATATAATAAATTCTGTTTTCCCAGCACCTACTATTTTTTAGCACCACACTGTAATGTGTATCTTCTTCCCTACACATAAAAGACCGTAGAGAGTACATAATGAAAAGCTTATCTGGATTATGAAATAACTACTGTATTGTATATTGTATATGTATTTATGATACTACCATGAAAGAATGTTAGATTTTATCCAATATACCTAGATTTTATATATATATATATATATATAGAGAGAGAGAGAGAGAGAGAGAGAGAGAGAAAGAGAGAGAGAGAGAGAGAGAAGTAGTATTTTGTTTTGTTTCCCAGGCTCATTCCTCTTTCTGATACACTACTAAGATGTGTTTTGTGTTTTGTTTTAGGTTTCCTCAAGAACTAAACATGGGAAAAATAAGTGCTGAAATTATGTGGACTCTTTTTGCTCTAGATATGAAATATGCATTAGAAGGTAAGGATACATGTCAATATTTACTAGCTTACATGCTTTAGTTAAACTGTGATTTCATATTCTCAACTTTAAATGTAAGAAATTAATACATTAAAACACAGACTACTGTAATTATCTTAGCTCTAAATCTTATTTCCAAATGGTAGAAGATAAAGTTTCAAAGTATTTAAAAGTTCTAAAGTTAAATATATATATAAAATCAAGATGCCTGTGTTGCAGAATCATAATGAGTATTTCACATGTGCAGTGATGCATAATCCAGGAATAATTTGGACCATACTTGGCAGGTGGATCTTCTATTCCATTGATTTTTGTCTCATTTTTTTGCCAGTACCATGCTATTTTTGTTAGTGTGGCTCTGTAGTATAATTTGAGATATTTGTAGTATAATTTGTAGTATTATTTGAGGTATTATGATACCTCCAGCAATACTCATTTGGTAAGGATTGCTTTAGGTATTTAGGGTCTTTTGTATTTCCATATGAATTTTAGGATTTTTTCCTATTTCTGCAAAAAATGTCATTTTGATAAGGATTGCATTGAATTTGCATATTACTTTTGGTAATACGACCATTTTAACAATATTTATTTCACTAGTCTACAAACATTAGAGATCTTTCTATCTTCTGGTGTCTTATACAGTTTCCTTCTTTATTGCTTCATAGTTTTCATTATAGAGGTCTTTCACTTTTGCTGAATTTTATGCTATGTGGGGTTTTTTGAGGTCATTGTTGCTGTGATTGCTTACATGATTTCTTTTTCAGTGAGTTCATTGTTAGCGTATAGAAAATCTGCTATCTCTTCTGCAATTGGTTTTGTATCTCTCTACTTTGCTGAAAGTACATATACATACATATATATATGTATGTGTATACATCAGATCTAAGAGTCTTTTAGTAGAATCTTTTAAGTATGAGATCATATCATCTACATACAGGGATACTTTAACATCTTCCCTTCCTACTTGTATCTATTTTATTTCCATCTCTTGTATTATTGCTTTGCTAAGTCTTCAAGTACTACATTGAATAAGAGTGGTATTAATAGATTTCATGATTTTAGTTTTTCCCATTCAGTATAATGTTGGTTCTAGGTCTGTCATATGTAGCCTTTGTAATATTGAGGTAAGAGCCTTCTATTCCTAGTTTATTCAGGGCTTTTATCATAAAAGAATGTTGGATTTTATCAAAGGCTTTCTCTGAATTTATTGAGAAGATCACATTTTTTGTGTGTTTTAGTCTATATATGTGTTGTATTACTTTTATTGGTTTGGTTGTTGAACCACCCTTGCATTACTGGAATGAAGTCAACTTGATTTCATTCAAAAATCTTTTTAATCAGTTATTAATGATCTTTGCAATTAATGATCAGTTATTAGTGATCAGTTAAACTATGATCTTTTTAATCACTTATTTAATTCAGTTTGCAAGTAATTTATTGATGATTTTTGTAACTACATTCATAAAAATTATTGGCTTATGGTTTTCCTTTTGGTTGTGTCATCTGATTTAGGTATCAGAGCTATGTTGGCTTTATAAAATGAATTTGGAAGTGTTGGTTCCCTTTCTATTTTGTGGAATAGTTTGAGGAGCATTAGTATTAGTTCCTCTTTAAATATCTGATTGAATTCAGCAATTAATCTGCCCAGTCCTGGCAGCTTTTTGTTGGAAGGGTTTTTTTTTCTGTTTTTACAGTTCCAATCTCAGTTCCCATTATTGATCTGTTTGAATTATTTGTATTTTCTTGGTTGAATTTAGGTTGGTCATATGTATATAGCAATGCATCCATTTCTTTAATTTTCCAATTTATTAGAATAGTTTTCAAAATATTCCCTAAGGATCCTCTGATTTCAGTGGCATCTGTTATGATGTCACCTTTTTCATATCTAATTTTATTAGTTTTGGTCTTTCTTTCCATCTTTTGATCGGTTTAGTGGAGTTTGCCGACCTTATTTATTCTTATAAGAGCCAACTCTTTGTTTCATTGATACTTTCTAGTGTTATTTTAGTTTCCATTTTGTTAATTTCCCTTTGATTATTATTTCTTTCCTTCTAATAATTTGGGGATTGGCTTGTTCTTGAAGCATGAAATTAGGTTATTTATTAGAGTTCTCATTGATTTTCTAATGTAGGCATTTGTAGCTATAAACTTCCCTCTTATAAACTTTCATGATATCCCATAGGTTCTGGTAGGTTGTGTTTTCATTTTCACTTGCTTCTAGGAAGTTTCTCATTTCCCATCCTTATTTCTTTAATAATATACTGATCATGCAAAAATGTATTGTTCAGTCTTTAAGATTTTTTTATATTTTCTGTCATTTCTCTTGCTGCTATTTTAGGATTTTATTATAATGTGGTCTGAAAAAATAAGAGAAGTTATTTCAGTTTTCTTGTCTATGTTAAGACTTGCTTTATGTCCTCCTGTTTTGGAGAAAGTTCCATATGTTGCTGAGAAGAATGTGCATTCTGGGGCTGTTGGGAGGGGTAGTCTGCAGATGTTTGTTAAGTTCATTTGATATATAGTGTTCTTTAATTTTGAAGTTTCTTTGTTGGTTATTTTGCCTGAATGACTCATCTGTTGGTGAGAGTAGGGAATTAAAGTCACATTCTATTGCTGCACTGTGTTTTTATGTCCAAAACTGTTTGTTTTATGGAATTGGGTGTGCCAGTGTTCAATGGTTATATGTTGACTACTGTTATATCTTCTTGATGAACTGTTTTATATTTCATAATGTTCAGGATGGTGCTGTATGTTAGTCGAGGGCTGGGCTGGTCAAGGGTCAGTTTTCAGTTTCAGGCTTTGTTCACTTGAGAATCTTCCTTTCTTTGTGTATTGGGAGCTGCTGCTTATCTAAGCTTTTGTAGCCTGAGACTGGACAGGTTCCCACTTACTCCATACATCTTCAAGTTTATGCCACCCAGGGCAACAGGTTTCCATGCCTAGGAATGTCTACTGAAGGAATGAGAGAGTAAGAAAGCAAACAGACCACTAAGTTCTGCACTGGAGAGAATGAAGGGAATACAGCACTCTATTTGCAGGTTTCAGTGCTTTCATGCTTTCACACCTCACCCAGGATTTAACCCCTGCTATGGGAGGAAGGAGGATGGGGAAATTGACCAGTGCAACCTAGGCTCAGAGCTTCCACTCCTGCCTAGAAGCAAACCATACACAGCAGGAAGGCAGCTCCAGAGGCTGAACAATCTGCCAACCACTGGCTGGGAGCTCTGCTTCTATAGTGATCCTCAGTCAATAAAGTTCACTCCTTGTCACAGAGAACAGTGGGACTGAACACCCTGCCCTCATTGGCTGAGTTCCCCACTGCTTAAACTTCAGCTGGTCCATATCAAACCCTCTCATCTCCACGGCCATCTTTTATGACCATCCCCCACTCAGACTCCCTGGTAGGTATCCTTAGACTACCTGAGCTGTGATCATTCTTTGTTTTCAGGTCCCCAGAAGTGCTCAGTCTTAAACAATAGGCTCCGTGTCAAGATAATGCCTGCACTCTGAGATATGGGGAGTGATAAAATGGCTTTCTTCTCTAATTCTAGGCAGGAAGAATCACTTCATAACTGGATTTAAGGCTTGCAAGAATGGTGACTTTATCCTACTAGGTCTTCTAGTCTGTTGTCACCAGTGTACCTGGCTTTGCTTGTGTTTATGGCTTCAGCTTCCCCTTATCCCCAGGGAGCTGGGGTTGAATCTGTGGACTGTCTCCTGTTTTTCTTTGCATAGCCTTTCTCTTTCTTCATGTTTTTCAGCTGTCTTGTCACCTCTTTCATGGTTCCTGATGTTCTTCCTTTGTTTTTCTCTTTGGAATATAGTCTAATTTTTGTTAACCTGATTCACCACATTTATGTAGTCAGTCATATGGAGGAAGATTCTAATCTTCCATCTCTGCCCAAGATCTAATCATTGCATTTTGTTGTTCTCACCTGTAAAATGAAAGGTCCATATTGAATCAGATGATGGAGCAATGGACAGGGTAGTTCCTGCCCACGCTCCTGAGGAACTACTTGAAACAATTCTACTAGTACATATTTTTCTGGGCAGTGTCCCTATCTTTGCCTACATAGAAACTACTTGAATATTTTATTTTGTATTATCTTCACTTAAAATAAGTAGTAACTTCAGACACATAAGTATATTTATGCTAAGAAATTTTCAAATGAAGATTTTAAAATAGTTGTAACAATTAAATTAGAAATGTTATAAGAAAAACATCTTCAACTTGATCAGATGCTTACTGATTTTATGTTAATAATTAAATACTCAATACAAAAATGTATCCCAAAATTCTGCTATTATAATAACCAAAAAACAGTCAAAAATGAAGGGGTAATTAATAATTTGTAATTTTCCTAGTCTTTTGCATACAAGAATCTCCTTCTGAAGAAGAATTTTTATTTTTTGCCTTTTTAAAATAGCAGTGTACTGAGGATTCAATTCCTACATATAGAAGTCACCTATTTAACACATATAATACAGTGGTTGTTGGAACAGTCCATATTTTCATAGAGGCATAGTTAAGTAAAGTAAGCAAAAAACTTGGATTATATCTTATGGTTTATACATCTTCTTCCATTAAACTGAATTTGTTTTTTGTTCTAGGATTGCCATTTTTTTTCTTCACCAAATCTTACTAGAAATTCAGCATGTATTTATTTCTTTGAGTTAAATTACAAATGGGACCACGCTATACACAGAACCTTAAGCACAAGGCCAGAATACTTACCCATGTTCTACCTGAACATGTAGTATTAACAACTGAGAAGCAACAAAATTTTGCAAGTGGGGAACATAATATAGGGTGCCTAATCACTTTCTCACTATACAACTTTGTGCAATAATCTTTGTACATAACATCTCCAAACATTAGTTTTCTTATCTCTAAAACAGTGGTAGTAGTTCTCAGGTCAGTGTAAGGATTAAATGATACTTTAATGTACTTTGTGAACTCCAAAGTACTATGCTAATGGAAGGAGAATGTTGCAGCAATT